TCAAAGAATTCTAAATATTATGAAATTTTTAAGATTCCACAGAATCGAAAGTTTCTAAAAATCCTAAGAATTTTAAAAATTCAAGATTCAAACAACCAAACGGTTAAAAGAATTCTAAAGATTCGAACATGAACAAGAACTTCACGTGGATTCTAACTTTATTGGAAAGCTTGAAATAATTATGTTATTACGATAATGTGGCGACAAATATAAATAGTAACGATCGGGACTCCAAATTATAAATCTCAGTTAATGGATCGCTGGCTCTGATTAAGGCGATCGAGCTCTCCTCAGTTTTCGGGGTTATGTTAAGTTCTCTCAAAATCGGTGGATGTTTAGATTTGTTTAAATGTGAAAATAATGTAACACCCAAACCATGCATATCTGATTGCCCACGTTATTGGATTTCTTTTATTTTTAAGTTAAAAACGACAGCGTCAGCTATGGAATTGTTCATATTTATTCTTCAAAATCCAATCAGACACGTCTCTCGCATTCAGCATTTTATTAACAATAATATTCTGACGGTGTATGGTATTTATATTTCATGAAGTGTATGGAGCTTACAGAGACAGATCGATGACTTCATTAAAAGCGGCGACATTTATAAATATAAAACTCGTAATGTAGGTAATCTGGAATTCTCCCATTTTCCAATACACAAGTTAAAAGGGGTCCATTTATATCAGTTAAGTTGATATTGAGTTGAACTTGCCTTTATTCGACTGACAAGTATTATCAAAAAAAGTCGAGTTAATGACACATGTAACTTTGGCTTAGATTTTTATTTCCCGTAGCAGTTACTCTTGACGTCGACTGGATTTAAGTTCCTCAAACAGTTGACGATTTTCTAGAAACTTAATTACCGTTGAACATGTTGCAGACGCTGCTCTCACAACCCGTCAACCGAAATTCATCAACTTAAACCAACATGATCCACAAATACAAAAGAAGCAAACTACTTCCTGCTTGTGTTCAGCTTTTTTAGTTTCTCTATGTTTGTAGTGCACCTGTTCGAACAAACATTGAGACCCTCCCGGCAAACAAGTGATCCGCGATGGGAGTCTCCGGGTCTTCGCCATGGAAAGTAGCAAATTCAGGCTAACGTAAAATTGATAAAGTGTATCGAATTCCTGACAACGAAGTGGAGATCCAACAAAGGACAATGAAGGCAAAGAGACTCGAACAAAGGCACTTGAAGACTGCGGATTGCAGCTGTTACTTTGTCATTGCTTGGGAAAGCAAAGGAACAGATAACCAGAGTCGAAAGACGTGCTAATGAACGAAAATGGTATTTTTCAACAATTTTGGTTCTGTGGTCGGTTGTGAATTGTGTGATGCGGTGCGAATTGATCTGCAATATCCTGCACCGGTTGCAACCTGACTTCACCTCTCATTTCGCACGTTAACGTGCAAACTTTGCCGCCACGGTCAAATTAAAAATATCCGACTGATAAAAGCGTGCAGCAGCCTTATCTATTAATTAAATCTGCAAACAACTATTCAAATCCGACTGAAAATCGAAGCGCTGAAAGCTTTCCCAGCAATAACTCCACGAATTAAATTTAAATGAGCCGGAAAAGCAACGTTACATGCACTCAAATGAAAAACTACCATCGGAACAATTACAGGAGACTAAATTCGTCCACATTGTGGGCATTTTGACACGACGAAACTGTAGTTGTGCTCATTTATACTGCGACTATTCAAATATAGCCGGAAACTTTTACGCTCAGTTAATTCATGATTTTGTTTACTTACTGCTTAATGTTCTCCCGGTGGATGCCCTATAAGCATAAATTCAGTTTATGGCACTAAACTGGAATCGTCTCTTAGAATGCAAGTGCGCTAAATAAAATTTCCCCAGACACTAAGTACTTTCACAGGGGATAAAATACATCCGGTGACTATCCCGTTTCGTTGTGTGGATGTAGACAGTGTCGATCGTGAAAACTTAATAAATAATTAATAATCAAGTATTTTTTAAACTCTATTGAGTCGTCAAGACAAGGCGAACATTTATGAAAAATTTACCGATTTAAATATTCCGAACACTGAAAGTTCATTTATTGTAATAATTTACACAGTCCGTTTTACCGTAAATGATTTATCCGCTGAACCGGATAATTAAAGTTTAAATACTTTGTGGATGCTCTGTGGTTGTATTCTGACGCACTACCGGTCACTAGAGTTAGGTCGATTATGGTGCAGATCCGTATTTGGAACTTTCCAAACTGACTGTTTTCACACCGAATGTAAACTTAATTTACTAATTCAATCAAAATTAATTCCTCGAGATTACACGTGAATCGAATTACGTGGCTAGCACACACTTCCCTGTGAGAGGTATATCCGAGAATAAAAATTGGTTTAATAATTTCGACACAAACGCCCCTTTGTTAAGAATTTTTACGTCTAGTGTAGCCAGACCCCATTGTTTGTTTATTGCGCCTAATACTCCATCCCCGGCCATCTCGAAGCAGATTATTTTCTGCATTTCGAAAACTCGATCCCTTACTCTGTAAACAGCCTACGCAAACAAGGTCTGCACCGTCACGTGTTGATTCCGCAGCTTCTCGACTCCCTTAAGAGGATAAATATGATGTTCATTAGCTTGCATCCGCTACGGTCTGCGCAAACCACCATCCAGAGATTTTCCATTTTTTTAAATTACCCGTAGCGGAACCGAGACCAAATCTACATGCAGGGTAAGGGCAGGTCTCCGACGTCGTTATTGCGGCGGTCCTTACGACCCTTGAGACCGTTGACGGATAGATACATTAGTATCACGAATTTCGGCTCGAACGTATACACGCTCCAGACTAATCGAATCAAAAATTTCGGTGAATAGACTTGATATTGGCTTAGAACTTGTCGGAACTCAATTACAACTTGTCGATCAATTTGCAAACTAGAGCTTCATTCATTTCACGTGCGCTTTGCATGCCGTAAACACGATTTGTGCAAGTGAATGATGCAGACTTAAGACTGCGGAGGGTAATTACGAATTCGGCACCGAAATCTAATCAGAGCAAAAGAAAATGGACAAAACGCCTATATCACAAGTAGTGCAATTATGCTAGGCTACGTGACAAGCATTGAACGTCAAAAAGTGATATTATACTAGGAAGACGTCGATTATGTAAATGAAATTAAATTTAGTCGGGTTGAAAGATTTTCCTCTCATAGCAAACGCCGTTTTCGTATTAGCAAAGTAATCTCCACGGTGTTGTAAAAGTCGAATAACATTTAAACTATTCATTAAAAAATAGTCACGCCTACGCCATGTCAAAATTCCTCGTGCCTGCAAAAATGAAATTTTTGCTAAAATTCCAATAACGAATTGCGGAGTCTCATAAACAGCGTCGTGGAGTCAGACGCTAGAGGAGACGTTTTCGGTAATGATAATCATTTCTTACACACTTGCACCACCGTGCTATTACGCCCGGAATCCTGGGAATAATTCAAGTGGAATTCACCGTAGGGGGATGCAAAAGAACACATTATACAACGGATATGATAATTTGCTTTTGTAGCCGGCGCTCCACTGAAATATTACGTGCTCGCTGTTCCTTGCTTTTAGCATTCTAACTGGAAAAACTTGTTACTTGCGAGGTTTATATATGCGCAATGAAATGCTCTGATTTGATAAGTGGACCAGTAATTGATAACAGGAGAAACATCTTTTGTGGAAAACCAGAATGTGTTTCGTGTTATTTTATAAATTATCATTGTAACCTGAGTGATAATGGAACGTCTGTATCACATTATCAAAATTTCAAGATAATTTTTGATTACTATCGACAGTTTGAGGAAAAGAGCTTCGTGAAAACTGATGATATTCGGATATTTTTCATTGTATATAGAGACATTAAAGGACTAAAGAACTTGTTGGTATCGATATTGTTGGTGATATACCTAAGAATATGCGAGACATTGTTTTCGAAGGTCCTCGACACCGAAACAACCATACGCCGGAAATCTTCTATACGATGTAATATAATATGGGAATCAATGCAAGGAGAAGGAGAACTCCAATAACAACCTTATACCATGTGGAATGTGTCACAATGACCGGATTTTCCATATTCCTTTGTAGAGCCTCCTCGAATTGGTGTTTGGCGTGACGCAGTTCATCAAAGTTTAACGAATTGATGGACAGCGGAATCATTTTTTGATTCTGCAGGTACTTCATCTTCTCTACACAACAGTTGTCTTCGTTTATATTTATCTTCGGTATGAAGTTCGTATAATTGGAGGATTAGTTCGAGCTGGATGTTAGCGCTGTCATAGGCGTAAAGCATTTACATTTGGGACCCATTGTGAATATTCCGACATCGCTCTCAAAATCGACGTCAAAGATTTTGCGGCTGCCTTCACAACTGATTGTGTCAAATACTGGATGTGATAGGACCTATATGCTAGTATCTGCTAAGATAAGACTGATTTTGGCAAATTCCCAATTTACTGCAATGTGAAGTCAAAATTTATAACGAAGTTTATTGTATACCGTTTAAAGATCTGCAGCAAAAAGTTAAAAAGATCAGATCAAGAAAGAGCAGAAACTAAAATGGTCCAGCAAGAGTTGGGTGAAAATTTTTAATAAAATTGTTGTAATTATTTCTTCTAAATCTTGTCCACTTGCGAAACTACTGTTTTTTCGACATTTATTTGACGGAATTTTGGATCAAAAACTGCTGTCATGTGTCATCGTTTGCTCTACCCTTATTTATATATTATACTAGCGGAACCCGGCAGACGTTGTCCTGCTTGTGTATATATTATATGTGGATATAAATGTATGGTCTGGAGCGCAGAATGCGTTGTAGAAAACTGAATAATAAGATTAACTCATATTGATGCTGTTCCATTTATTTTCATTAGTATACACAATGTACACATTTTTGTATTAGTAATTCACGTGAATGAACAAAATTTTTGACTATTGTATTCGCTATATAACTGAAACAACTTGAACACATTTTAATCAATACTAACATCTATCGTAACGCTAGTGGGTAAACAATATTTTTGGTTTTTCGATTTGGTGTATAGACGTACAGAGTTTTTGGAGTTCCTACTCTGGAGCAAGCAACATACAGTTGACCATGCGAAAAACATGGATTTCGTAAATTTAATCCGGCAACGCGTAGAGACTGCCCTTGGGCTTTGTTGATTGTCATCGCGAAAGCAAGACGCACAGGAAACTGTAGTCGTTTGAATGTAAAGGGCAAATCAGTAGGAACCATTGGAATGCACGGAATCAGCACATCTTCACCTTTACATTTGCCGCTAATTATTGTTGCTTCAATCACATTCGACATCAGTTTTTTCACTGAAAGTCTGGTTCCATTGCATAACTTCGGGGTATTGAGATTCCGAAGGAGCAGTATTGGTGAGCCAACTTTTAACGTCAGTATGTGCGGTGGCATTCCAGGAGGCTCCAACGAATTGACAAATTCGACTGGATAATTTACAGCTTGGTCCTCTTCTGTAACTGTGTCAATCGATTTGTATTCCGTAATCACCCCAGGAATTTTTAATTGAATCTTATTATTGATTCGATTGACATCATCATTCTTTGGAGCTAAGATAGCTCGCTCGCAAAGCCAATCATGATTTCTAAAGTTGTTGGCGATGTTGGAGAAAACTCTCTCTTTAAGTTCTTCAATTGATGACTGAAGTTGACAGAAGTTCGGAGGGAACGCTATCTCCTGTGTTGTAGGATCAGCCAAAAGTTTGCCGTCGCCGATATCCAAAAGTTGTTTGGCAAATATTTGTGCAGAAACATCTCCAAGTAAATGCACACGCATATTGGTCGACAGTGTAATTTTTTTCACACGTCTCCAGAGAGACGAATTTTTCAGGCATGCATTCAACTCGTCTGCTGGTGTTGATCTAGGAATCACGGGCAAAGTTTGACGGAAATCACCTGCGAGCAGGATCAGAGCTCCGCCCAGTGGACGTTCATCGCTTCGGAAATCTCACAGAGTACGATCAAGTGCTTCAAGTCCTTTCTTATGGGCCATAGTACATTCATCCCAAATAATCAGTTGGCATGTTTTCAATACAGTTGCCATTCCAGTTGTTTTTCCAATGTTGCAAAGAGGATCAGCAGCTAGATTTAAATTCAATGACAGCTTGAGAACCGAATGCGCCGTGCGTCCTCCATCGAGTAATGTTGCTGCAATCCCCGATGATGCCACAGCTAAAGCAATCTCATGTTTCATTCGAATTTCAGCGAGTATCAAATTGAGTAGAAACGTTTTTCCTGTGCCTCCTGGTGCATCAAGAAAAAGAAGTCCACCATTTCCGCCTCGCACATGCTCCATAATTGTGTCGTATGCAAGTCGTTGATCGTTTGTTAAGAGCCTTTTCTGAGTTTCAACATAAACTTGTAGCGCATCGACGTCGTATTGTTTTTCTCGCAATACGTCTCTATCTATAACATCGTTTCTGTCACGTTCCGATGAAAACAGCCCAAGCTGATTGAGGATTTTGTTGTTAATCGACATACACACATCCTCAAGTGATATCAGTGCTTCATTGAAAATGTCTTCCGAATACTGTACATCCAAGCCGGGATTATTTTTGCGTGCTCGGAGAAGTATGTCTTCGCTCATAGTCTCTTTGTGTTTTTCCCATAAACCTTTCGGATCAGAAGGTGCGCAGGTTGTCAAAATTATGGCAAACAGAGTTCGTATTTGATGGGCATGACGTGTCTCAGATGCTTCCGCTAATGTGTTGTCCCAATGTTGATCATTTTCAAGCAAACCAAGTTTAAAACATGCTTCTCTGTATGTCTCACACTCTTGATCATCGATTGTTTTGATTGCTTGAAACGATGTTGGTCCTTTGACCACGTGAAGCAGCATTCGCAAATAGTAGCATTCACCATTATTTGGATGAACAGTATATACTCTTCCCAGTGCACCAGTAGAAAATATGCCAGCTATAGAAGAATGCCTGGCGCCTCGTTTTCTTCTGCAAAATTTCTTCGTCGATTGATTCCAAGTGTAGTACTGCGGGACTTCGTGATACATTAATGTTTTTGCGAATTCGTCAGTTGCACACAATTGGAAAAAAGCGGTCAACGTTGTATTTGGTGGATCTGCAACTCGTTGGGGTGCGTTGTCTTCCGTGAAGTAGACTCGTTGACCGTTTTCCAAGTGAACACTGGGATGCATGACAGCAGGAAAGCGTTCATGAATGTCGAAACCAAGAATTCTCCATACAGCTTCATTACTGCTAATGTAACGTCCCATTTGAAATTGCTCGATTTCATTGACGGGCGCATTGGGATTCGCAATTCCGAAAATGCCATATCGCTGCCTTTATTCACGTATTTGCATATGTATTTTATTGCCTTAACTGAATTACAGGACTCCACGTTGATATGTGCATTGAATGATTTCGAAAGGATAGGAGAGTAGGGCACAATCCATCGGTTATCAACTTCGAAATCAACGTTATTGATTTTGATAGTTGTGGTGTATCCTCCATCATCTGGTTTTCGTCGTCTGTACAACGGATAACCGTCGCCACCAGTTTGTGTTTCTTGCAGCAGCTGGCGTGGATACTTTTTGGTGCATTTTCCGTCTTTCATGCATGGCGAGTGTGGGTTGTGTCCCCCACAAGTAGGGTAAAAATATGAGTGACGCGGTGCGCAGAAGCGATGCGCAGTGGTCGTTCCCGTGTGGTGGCGCTGCGATCGGTTTGTGTCTTTGCTGCGGCGCTGCTATGGTTTGCGTCTTTGGTGAATGTTCCGGTAGATGTCTCTTTTCGCGCGGGAATTTTTGTGTGTGAAAAAAAGCACAGTTGCCTCACGATGGATTCGAACCCATCGGTCAGCCGTGCTGTATAGTCTCTTGTATCACACGTCCATCACGCCCGACGCTGAACAGTAGGAATAATCTCGAACTGATGATAACGCTGGCCTGGCCTGTCGTATTGTTGGTTGTCTAATGTTCGGGGGGCGGCGGCGGCGGCGCCTCCTGAAATGAAAATCCCTGGCTCGGGCCCCCTTGCTTTGGTGTGTGGGGTTCTGACTGCGGTCTTATGCGAGTTAAATCTGGGGACGCGGGCTCCTGACGTTTTAAATTTGGGGGCGCGGGCTCCTGACGTTTGAAAATTGGGGCTCCTAACCCTAATCTCTTAAAATCTAACCTCACTTTTCGTACGAAATTATTATAGGAATAATCTCGAACTGATGATAACGCTGGCCTGTCGTATTGTTGGTTGTCTAACTTGCTTGTTCGGGGGCCCCCGGACACTGGTAATTAAAAATAAAATCCCCCTAAGCCTTAATACTGGGGCTGGGCCCCTTGCGTATAACTTTGGTGTCTGGGGGCCTGACCTCGATCTTATACGACTTAAATTGGGGGCGCCGGCTTCTAACGTTTTTAAATTTGGCGGGGTAATTTAAACTCAAAAACTCTCTGGGCTCTTAACCCTACTGTCTTAAGATGTAGACCTTTAAATCTAACCTCACTTTTTATTTAAAATTATTATCGTTAAATAGTAGTAACATAAAATAAAATTTCCCTACGTCGGGGGGTCGGAGTTCTGTACTCCAAACACCAGTGTCTTAAGATCCGGGGGCCCCCTACGCCTTAAGATGAGGGCCCCTACGTCTCAAGATAGGGCGCAGGCCTCTGATCGGGCCATGTGTTTAAAAATTGGCGGGTAATTTAAAATAAAATTCCCTTACGTCTTAAGATGAGGTGCACGCTCCTGGATGAAGCCCCTCTAAATCTAACCTCACTTTTCATTCAAAATGATAATCGAAAAATAGTAGTAACAAAAACAAAAAATTTTAAACAATGATATATTTATAAACTTACAATACATTTGAAAAAAATTAAACTATCCATTATAAACAAATCTTAAATCTAATTAACATAAAATATAAAAGCAAAAATAAACCATAGAGTACAAAACTAATGTCTAATTAACTAATGAACACATTTTACATAATTCATTTTAAAAAATAAAAAATAATATAAAATGAAAGCGAAAACGAAAACTACAACAGAAACAAAAAAACTAATAAGCAGAATTAATATAATTTTTAATAATATTCATAATCAACTTCCATACTTTTGGAGTCTTCTTCTTCTTGTAGAGTCGTAAATCGATCTTCATGTATTTTCTTTCGTTGCGAAACTTGTAATTTAGGTTCTAAATAGATGGATTCTACTTGTCGTATCCGTCTTCGAAATCGTTCACCATCTTTAGCGTACTGTTGCCAAATAGCATCACATCTCAATTGGTGATAAGCGAAGGACCATTTCACCATTAAATGTATTTTCGGAGGGTTAAAACTAGAATGAATAAGTATTTGTAAAGATTTTAGTTTGTATTAATAATTACCTTTTTTCCTTTAAAATAAAAGGGTCTTGCGATTCGCTTACAAATGTATGTCCGTTATGAAACCTCACATTTCCGGGCGAAGATAATAAAAAATGTTCAAACTAAAATGATCGGTTTTAGATTGATTTTATAAAAAATGTAAACTTACAATTCGTCTCTTCGTTAACTCGGAGACCGGCTAAGATTTTTTCTTCTACATATGCTTTTCACATTTTGTACGAAATGACCAGGTAATATAGCATTTTGTTGGAATATATTCTTTTACACTATCCAAGGCTCGTTTCAATTCTTTAAGCTCCACACAGAACGAACGAAATGAGAACTGTCTATTTAAATATTTATTGCACAATATCGAAAGATCTTCATACACTTTCACGATTCCTTGATAAAGATAATTTTTGAGTAGAGTAGAGTCTTCATGTGGGTAGCGTTGTAGAAAATCATGAAGCGAATGGTGAACTTGATTCTCTAATCGATTTACGGAGAATCTTTTCGCTTCCTCACAACAAAACTGCGAAGAGTAAACAACACACCAGCCAGACATCATGACAACAACAACTACTACTACTAAATTTGTTCGCATGCGTTGTCTATCGAGGAAATCAACAAGAAATCTGTTTCCAGTATAAAACCACATGTTTCCGTTTTTTCGATAAGCATTAATGAAGAACGCTAAAAACGGTGTTCTAGAGTGATAATGGACGAATTAAACCGCTTAGCAGGTCGATACTTTAAAATTTTATTGTGAATGATGATGCAGTTTGCTCTAGAGGTTATCAATAGGAAATCCTTTTTCGGTTGTGAACGATTCCACACGTTCAATGTTAAATAAGATCTCTTGTGGTTTTTAGCATTGGTGTGTACTCTACGATAGCATCGTGTATGATAATTACGTAGGCTTTTGTATCTTGAGGAAACTCATAGTCCGACTCAAATTGAAGTGATACATCTACAGTTGAATAACGAATAGGTTCGGGGTGCTTTGAGCAGTCTAAAACGAATATTGAACGAGTTTTAAAATCGTCATATTTCAATATCGGTTTTGCTCTATCTTGATCGTTGAATTGTTTATAAAAATCGCAATATGCTTGATATGCTTCTCTGTAACGAGTTTTTCTAAAATCTAATTTCCAAGATTCGTATGGATATATACTCGAATTTAAGTGTAGACGTATGCTTCTCATATCGATATTGTCGAATTTGGTAGCATCGGCTAGGGGGTTATTCTTTCTATTAGTTTGAAAAAATACTATACAATAAAGAGGTGTGTGTACACTTTGCAGAGTTTTCACTTTCCACACTTCGTTTTTAGATCTTGGCAGAATGGGCAATTCATGAATATCCCACTTTCTAAATGGTACCAATATAGATTTACTTGTGTTGATTTTATTTAACATCTGGAGTTTAATATCATCGTTCGGAAAGACATGTTTTGCTATTA